ATATTATAATAATATAATATATATACATACTAGCTGTGCCCTGCCACGCGTTGCTGTGGCCTATAGTAAAACTTATCAAAGTTGAGGTAGATATCTGGACTATTATGAAAGAGAGGTCCCTACCTATTCCTTCCCCCTTTTCCTCCCCCTTTCTCTACTTTCTTCCTTCTCTACCTCTTTCTTTCTTTCCTTCTTTCACTACTTGGTTTCATCCTTCTCTCTTTCCTTCATTCCCTCCCCCTTTCTTCCTTTGCCTTTCTTCCCTCCCTGTTTGCTTCCTTCTTTCTCTTTTTATTTCCTTTTCTTTCACCACCATCATAACAATAACAATAATGCAATGCATTGCCTCTGGGACCTGACACCTCTCCCATTCCCCCTAAAAGGGTCTCAGAGGAAGAAGAATAGCATCATAATAATCATAGAAATAACAACCTTTACCCGCCACGTGTTGCTGTGGCCAACCTTCCCTCTTTCTCTCCTTCTTTCCCTCCTTCCTTCCTTTCTTCCTTCCCTCCCATCTTTCCTTCTCCTTTCTCTTCTCTTCTTCCTTCCTTCTTTCCTTCCCTCCCTCTTTCTCTACATCTTCCCCCTTCCTTCACTCCCTCTTTCCTTCCTTCATTCCCTTTTTTCTTTCCTTCTCTCCTTCCTTCCTTCCCCCTTTTTCTTTCCCTCCCTCTGTCTCTCATTTCTTCCTTCTCTACCTCTTTCCTTCCTTCCCCCTTTTTCTTTACCTCCCTTTCTCTTTCTTCCTTCTTTCCTTCCTTCCTGTCTTTCCTGGATTTTGACAGGGCGGGAAGGGGCGGGGGGGGGGTTGGAGGTGGCGTGAAGTAAAAGGAGGTAAGATTGGGGCGGGGGAGTGATGGAGCGTGGGGTTGCGTGTGTGTGTGCGGCGGCGAGGGAGTGATGGAGCGTGGGGTTGCGTGTGTGTGTGCGGCGGGGGGGAGTGATGGAGCGTGGGGTTGTGTGTGTGCGTGCGGCAGGGGGTGTGTGTGTGCGGGAAGCGGCGTGGCGGGGCTTGGAGTGGGCATGGCTTCCGCAGAGGGAACGTTGGCCGGAAGGCTGTGTGCGTGTGCCAGGAAACTTGTGGCTGGGCGCCAATGCGCATGCTCAGTTGTTTTGCCGTTTTGTGAGTGTGTTGTTGTGTTGTTTTTCATTTTGAGTAGATATGTTTGTACCTTGTGGGTTGTGTTATGGGCATGGGAATTTTGGTTAAGTTTTGTTGGGGGGTTGTGGAGTTTTGCTGTCCCGTTGAACCAACCTAACAGATAGATAATATTTCATTCGGGGACAATTTCCTCCTAGATTTTATGTGTTTCCTCCCCCACAGACATCCCAGTGTTCCTTACTCTCTCCACTGGTGTGGAATTATAATTACAATGTTTTATAGGCTTTTCAACGAGGACAATTCCATCCTAGATTGTATGTGTTTCCTCCACCATGGGCATCCCAGTGTTCCTTACCCTCTCCATTGGCATCATGAATATGTCCAAGAGCTCTGTTAATGTCCTCCACCAACACCACACTGCCCACCACCCAAGGAAAGGCTTTCCTACGGGGACAATTCCATCCTAGATTGTATGTGTTTCCTCCACCATGGGCATCCCAGTATTCCTTACTCTCTCCATTGGCGCCATGAACATGTCCAAGAGCTTTGCTACTGTCCTCCACCAACACAACACTGCCCACCACCCAAGGGAAGGCTTTCACATAGGGACAATTCCATCCTAGATTGTATGTGTTTCCTCCACCACGGGCATCCCAGTGTTCCTTACTCTCTCCATTGGCGCCATGAACATGTCCAAGAGCTCTGCTGATGTCCTCCACCAGCACCACACTTCCCACCACCCAATCTAGGGGACAATTCAATCCTAGATTGTATGTGTTTCCTCCACCATGGGCATCCCAGTGTTCCTTACCCTCTCCATTGGCATCATGAATATGTCCAAGAGCTCTGCTACTGTCCTCCACCAACACAACACTGCCACCACCCAAGGGAAGGCTTTCCTACGGGGACAATTCCATCCTAGATTGTATGTGTTTCCTCCACCACGGGCATCCCAGTGTTCCTTACTCTCTCCACTGGTGTGGAATTATAATTACAATGTTTTATATTACATGTAATATTACTAATAATTAAAAAACATAATAATAATAATAAATATCAAATCAGAATATGATCGATATTCTAATGTAAATATACTATGATAGTTTGTCGTTACTTACAAAGGACGACAATCACCATTTGAAACAAGGACGTCCTCCCCATTCTTCGTAAATATAAACAAACAAACAAACCAATAATAATAATAATAATAATTTCTCCTGGCTCCTCTCGATTCAACTCCTCCGTTCAGGACTGAACTTTCCGAAACTCTCTCTAATTATAATTTCCATCCCCGAAACTGGAAAATCTAGTTTGCTCCGGAGGCGGCAGCATAAATAGAAGTAATGTATTCCGTTCCTTGATTCAATGTCCTGATGTTCCAGATGGGAACGAGACCCTTTGAAATGGTGTTTCTCGACCTTGACATTTGGGAGTTGTAGTTGCTGGGATTTATAGTTCACCTACAATCAAAGAGTGTTCTGAACCCCACCAATGACGGAATTGGACCAAACTTGGCACACAGAACTCCCATGATCAACGGAAAACACTGGAAGGGTTTGGTGGGCATTGACCTTGAGTTTGGGAGTTGTAGTTCACCTACATCCAGAGAGTGCTGTGGACTCAAACAATGAAGGATCTGGACCAAACTTGGTACGAATACTCAATATGCCCAAAGGTAAACACTGGTGGAGTATGGGGAAAATAGGTCTTGCCATTTGGGAGTTGTAGTTGCTGGGATTTATAGTTCACCTACAATCAAAGAGCTTGCTGAACCCCACCAACGACAAAATTGGGGCAAACTTCCCACACAGAACCCCCATGACAAACAGAAAATATTGGAAGTGTTTGGTGGGCATTGACCATGAGTTTGGGAGTTGTAGCTCACCTACATCCAGAGAGCACTGCGGACTCAAACATCAATAGAATTGGGCCAAACTGTCATGATTTCAATGTTATGTGTGTATGCATATATGTATATGTATGTGTGTGTGTGTGTGGCTGGGGTGTCCACTTCCACAGACAAGCTCCCATTTCCACAAACAGCTATAGGTCCCGCTACTCGGGAGACAACAAAGACCCTCCCTCTAAATGACATTGCCAGTTATAGTGAGTGCCGTGTCGTACAGGGACAATATCATCCTAGATTGTATGTGTTTCCTTCACCAGGGGCATCCCAGTGTTCCTTGCTCTCTCCATGTCCAAGAGTCCTCCACCACCACCACACTGCCCACCAACCAAGGAAAGGCTTTCATTCAGGTAAAATTTCATCCTAGATTATATGTGTTTCCTCCACCATGGGCACCTCAGTGTTCCTTACTCTCTCCATTGGCACCATGAACATGTCCAAGAGCTCTGCTAATATCCTCCACCACCACCACACTGCCCACCAACCAAGGAAAGGCTTTCATTCAGGGACAATTTCATCCTAGATTATATGTGTTTCCTCCACCATGGGCACCTCAGTGTTCCTTGCACTCTCCATTGGCGCCATGAACATGCCCAAGAGCTCTGCCAATGTCCTCCACCAACACCACACTACCCACCACCCAAGGGAAGGCTTTCATCCGGGGACAATTCCGTCCTAGATTGTATGTGTTTCCTCCACCGCGGGCATCCCAGTGTTCCTTACTCTCTCCATTGGCACCATGAATATGTCCAAGAGCTCTGCTAATGTCCTCCACAAGCACCACACTTCCCACCACCCAATCTAGGGGACAATTCAATCCTACATTGTATGTGTTTCTTCCACCACAGGCATCCCAGCGTTCCTTACTCTCTCCATTGGCACCATGAACATGTCCAAGAGCTCTGCTAATGTGCTCCACCAACACCACATTGCCCACCACCCAAGGAAAGGCTTTCATACGGGGACAATTCCATCCTAGATTGTATGTGTTGCCTCCATCATGTGCATCCCAGTGTTCCTTACTTTCTCCATGGGCACCATGAATATGTCCAAGAGCTCTGCTAATGTCATCCACCAGCACCACACTTCCCACCACCCAATCTAGGGGACAATTCAATCCTAGATTGTATGTGTTTCCTCCACCACAGGCACCCCAGTGTTCCTTACTCTCTCCATTGGCGCCATGAACATGTCCTCTGGTAATCTCCTCCACCAACACCACACTGCCCACCACCCAAGGAAAGGCTTTCATACAGGGACATTCTAGATTGTATATGTTTCCTCCACCATGTGCATCTCAGTGTTCCTTACTCTCTCCATTGGCACCATTAATATATCCAAGAGCTGTACTAATGTCCTCCACAAGTATCACACTTCCCACCACCCAATCTAGGGGACAATTCAATCCTAGATTGTATGTGTTTCCTCCACCATGGGCATCCCAGTGTTCCTTACCCTCTCCATTGGCATCATGAATATGTCCAAGAGCTCTGCTAATGTCCTCCACCAGCACCACACTGCCCACCACCCAATCTAGGGGACAATTCAATCCTAGATTGTATGTGTTTCCTCCACCACAGGCATCCCAGTGTTCCTTACTCTCTCCATTGGCACCATGAATATGTCCAAGAGCTCTGCTAATGTCCTCCACCAACACTACACTTCCCACCACCCAATCTAGGAGAAAATTCAATCCTAGATTGTATGTGTTTCCTCCACCACAGGCATCCCAGTGTTCCTTACTCTCCCTATTGGCGCCATGAACACGTGACAGCAGGATTGAAGAGAAACAACTGGAAACGCTGACACGATATGAGGATTTAAAGATCGAACTGCACAAGCCAGTCAAGGAGGTCCCAGTGGTAATCGGCACGCTGCGCACAGCGCCCAAAGACCTTGGCCTGCACTAAAGCACAATCATGTTCCACATTTGAAAAAAATAAGGGAAACGAGAGAATGTTTAATATAATATTTATTATTATTGTTGTTGTTATTTGGAAGGAATCGGGGTGTTCTTTGGGACAGCTGGTCAGCAGGACGGCGGTTTTTCGTTGCAGTTGGTGTCCAAGTAAAAGCGGTATTTTGCGTCGTAGGTTTTGAGGTTGTCTTTGAAGCAAATCGCGGTGGTTTTGTCGCATTCGCAGATCTGCTTTTCACACGACGTTCCTTCACCTGAGAAAGGAACATTGCATTTATTGCCATTGCATTGTATTATTATTATTATTATTATTATTACTACTACTTTAATATTTATATTATTAATATATTTTAGAATTATATTTCTACTATTACATTTTACTACACTCATATTTTAGTACATATTATTATATTATATTTATATAACATTACATTATTATAGTATTTTTATTTTATTATTTTATTTGTTCATGGCGCCAATGGAGAGAGTAAGGAACACTGGGATACTTATCTTATTAATATATTTTATTATTATATTTCTACTATTATTATATTTTATTATAGTCATATTACATTAGTATATTTATATTATTTTATCTGCTTTATATTTATATTATTATTGTTTTTTTATTTTTTTTATTTTATTTGTTCATGGCGCCAATGGAGAGAGTAAGGAACACTGGGATATTTATATTATTAATATATTTTATTTCTATATTTCTACTATTATATTTTATTATATTCACATTATATTCTAGTATATATTATATTTATATATTACATTATTATAGTATTTTTATTTTAATATTTATATTATTAATATATTTTATTACTATATTTCTACTATTATAATTTATTATATTCATACTATATTTTAGTATATATTATTGTATTATATTTATATAATATCACGTTAATATAGTATTTTATATTAATATTTATATTATTAATATATTTTATTATTATAGTTCTACTATTATTATATTTTATTATATTCATATTATTATTATATTTTATTATATTCATATTATATTATTACATTATTACATTAGTATATTTATATTATTTATCTGTGTTATATTTATATTATTATATTATTAGAATAATATATTTATATTTATTTATAATATGCTATTACATTATTATATTATATTACTACATTATTATATTTATATTTATCTGTATTATTTGTATATTAGTATTATTATATTATTAAAATCTGGTAATAGTTTTTTATTATACTATTAAGTCATATTATTACATTATTATATTAGTATATTTATATTATCTGTATTATGTGTATATTAGTATTATTGTATTATTTTATTAATATATTAATAAAATTTATTTATATTTTACTATTACATTATTATATTATATTATTACATTATTAAATTAGTATATTTATATTTAGCTCTATTATGTATATTCGTGTTATCTTATCTTATTAAAATAATATATTAATAGATTTTATTTATATTATACTATTATATTAGTATATTATATTATTGCATTATTATATTAGTATTGTATAATAATATTATTTTATAAATATAAATATTATTATTATTTTATTTGTATTATTATATAAAATATAATTTTATATTTTATAAGATATATTGATATATTTATTTATGTTATACTATTACATTATTATATTATATTATTACATTATTATATTAGTACTGCATATATAATATAATAATGTAATAGTATAATATAAATAAAATGCATCAATAGCCTTCTAAAAATATAATATTATATTTTATCTTATAATACATATAAAATAATAATATTTATATTTTATTTATAAAATAATATAAATATAAATATTATTATTTTATATGTATTATTATATAAAATATTATATTTTAGAAGACTATTGATATATTTTATTTATATTATACTATTACATTACATTACATTATATTATTACATCATTATGTTAGTACTTTACATTTATAGTATTTTATAAATAAAATATAAATATAAATATTAATATCTTATATTATTAAAATAATATATTAATAGATTTTATTTATATTATACTATTACATTAGTATTTATATTAATATTATATTAATATTAATATAATTATTTATTACTTTATTTTATCTGTATTATTATATAAAATATTATATTATATTTTTAGAATAATGTATTAATATATTTTATTTATATTACACTATTACATGATTATGTTTGTATATTTATATTTTATGTATTATAATTATATATGTATATGTATATGTATATGTGTGTGTGTATATACATATACATATACATGTATATGTGTGTGTGTGTATATATATATATATATATACACATATACATATACATGTATATGTGTATGTATGTGTGTGTGTGTGTATATATATATATATATATATATATATATATATATATGCAATTATTCTAAAGAGAAGGAGAAAGCCCTTGTCAAACTACAACTCACCGCAGGTGATGGTTCCGTCCTTGATGGTGAATTTGTACTTGTCTGTTGTGGTGTCGCATTGCTTCAGTTTGCTGTAGCAGCAGTCGTGGTTGAAGCAGCACCTGGGCAGAAGGAGAGCCTTGCTTTGAGTGTCTTGTTTACCTGTCCTGTCTTACCTCTCTGTGCTTCACCTGTCCTACCTGTCCATAGTCTATGGTGTACCTGCCCTAGCCATCTATGTTGTATCTGGCTGTGGTTTGATAGTTCCAGCTGTCTATAATTTACCTGTCTGCGCTTTACCTGTCCTACCTGTCCATGGTTTACCTGTCCACAGTTTACCTATATGTGCTTTAGCTGCCCCACCTGCCCATGGTTTACATGTCTATGGTTTACCTGTATGTGCTTTAGCTGTCCTACCTGTCCATGGTTAACCCTTATATGCTTTTCCAGTCCTACCTGTCCATGGTTTACCTGTATGTGCTTTGGCTGTCCTACCTGTCCATGGTTAACCCTTATATGCTTTTCCAGTTCTACCTGTCCATGGTTTACCTGTATGTGCTTTGGCTGTCCTACCTTTCCAGGCTTACCTGTATGTCCTTTGCCTGTCCTACCTGTCCATGGTTTACCTGTATGTGCTTTTCCTTTCCTACCTGTCCATGGTTTACCTGTCCATGTTTCACCTGTCCATGGCTTACCTGTATGAGCTTTACCTGTCCTACCTGTCCATGGCTTACCTGTATGTGCTTTGCCTGTCCTACCTGTCCATGACTTCCTGTATGTGCTTTAGCTGTCCTACCTGTCCATGGTTTACCTGCATGTGCTTTACCTTTCCTATCTGTCCATGGTTTACCTGTCCATGGTTCACCTGTTCATGGCTTACCTGTATGAGCTTTACCTGTCCTACCTTTCCATGGCTTACCTGTATGAGCATTGTCTGGCCTACCCTTCCATGGTTTACCTGCATGCGCTTTTCCTTTCCTACCTGTCCATGGTTTACCTGTCCATGTTTCACCTGTCCATGGCTTACCTGTATGAGCTTTACCTGTCCTACCTTTCCATGGCTTACCTGTATGAGCATTGTCTGGCCTACCCTTCCATGGTTTACCTGTCCATGGTTTACTTGTATGTATTTTAGCTGTCCTACCTGTCCATGGTTTACCTGTTCATGGTTTCCCAGTATGTGCTTTACCTGTCCAACCTGCCCATGGTTTACCTGTCCATGGTTTACCTATATGTGCTTTACCTGTCCTACCAGTCCATGATTTACCTGTCCATCGTTCACCTGTATGGGCTTTACCTGTCCTACCTATCCATGGTTTAATTGTCCATGGTTTACCTGCACATGCTTTACCTGTCCTACTTGTCCATGGTTTACCTGACCATGGTTTACCTTCATGTGCTTTACCTGTCCTACCTGTCCATGGTTTACCTATCCATGGTTTATCTGTATGTTCTTTACCTGTTCTACCTGTCCATGGTTTACATGTATGTGCTTTTCCTGTCCTACCTGTCCATGGTTTATCTGTCCATAGTTCACCTGCCTGTGCTTTACATGTTTGTGTCTTCCTTGTTCATGGGGTACTTGTGCTAGCTGCCAATGCTTTACCTGTATGTCATTTAACTTTCCTACCTATCCATGATTTACCTGTCCATGATTTACCTATCTGTGCTTTACATCTTTGTGGCTTCCTTGTCCATGGCTTACCTGTATATGCTTTGCCTGTCCTACCTGTCCATGGTTTACTGTCCATGGTTTACCTGCCTGTGCTTCAAATATTTGTGGCTTCCTTGTTCATGGTGTACTTACACTATCTTGCCATGCTTTATATGTAGTTTACCTGTCCTACCTGTCCATTGTTTACCTGTATGGGCTTTACCTGTCCTACCTGTCCATGGTTTACCTGTACATTCTCTACCTGTCCTACCTGTCCATTGTTTACTTGTCAATTGTTTACATGTATGTGCTTTCCCTGTCCTACCTGTCCATGGTTTATCTGTCCATAGTTTACCTGTATGGGATTTACCTGTCCTACTTGTCTATGGTTTAACTGTCCATAGTTCACCTGCCGGTGCTTTACATGTTTGTGACTTCCTTGTTCATTGTGTATTTATCCTAGCTGTTCATGCTTTATCTGTATGTGGTTTACCTTTCCTACCTGTCCATGGCTTACCTGTCGGTGGCGTCCCGTGGCTGTCCTCTCCCTCCCAGTCCGCAATAGCAGCCGTAACTGGTGTACTCGAAAAAAGCGATTTTGTTGGTCAGTTCCTTGACCATTTTCCCAAATTCCACAATGCTCCCTTCGGTCTCCAAAACACCTGTACAAAAATAATCAACCTTAATTGATTTGGTTTACCTGTCAAAGTAAATCCAGAGACGTTCCTTTGCCAAAGCCATTGGTTGGATCTACAGATCCCATATCCTTTACCTGCCCTACCTGTCCATAGTTTACCTACTGTGCTTTCCCATGATCTACCTACCTATAACTTACCTGTTGTACCTGTTCTTAGTTTATCCTACCTGTCCATGGTTTACCTGCCCTACCTTTCTATGGTTCACCTACCTGTGGTTTTCCGTGTGTTGCATATCTGTGGCTTACTTGTCCTACCTGTACTTGCTTTACCTGCTCTACCTTTTTCA